CACCCCCCCCCCCACACACACACATACACACGCACACGCAAACACGCAAACACACACACATACACTCACAATCACACACTTAACCATGGACTCGCTCGCCCTCACCCGCGTTCATCCACATGAACACGGACGTTAACAAACGGCATGGGGAAGGTGCGCCGTACAAGCATTTTTTTGCTTCTAAGTTTTATTGTTATCTGACTCTTCATGTAGTAGAGAGAACATAATTATATGTTTTCTCGAATCGTGTTGCCTCCGGGTACGATCGGTATTGCAAGCAAAGATACAGTTATCTGATATCTTTTGACACTGACAATGTTCTGCTTCATTATACACTAGCTAGAACGTTCTACCCACGTTAGGTGTTGCGCATACTAAATTTCTTCAGCTCTATAACTTCAAATGTAGAGAGTTACCGGTAACTGTTGTTATCTTTCATTGAGTGCGTTCAGGTGCCTGTTGCTCGGGAACATGGTTACTTCTTGTGGTCACTCTTGAAACTCTTAGCTTCCAAGATTTCTTTCTTTGTAAACGGGGTAGGTAAAAGAGTTTGATCAACTAGCACGCGAACGGGACTTTGAACATGACCATTTGACAGCTAGGAACATATACTGCATAATGGTGAGATTGTTCGACAGGCTCCATTCCACAACGAGACAAGTTAAAGTGAACTGGGTTCCAAAGGAAGAGTTTTGCTCGCTACCACTATCAGCAACTCTTTAAATTTATTTAAGGTGAAGCTTGAGGCTGCAAGGAGTGTTCTGTACTTATCATTCATGTTCATGTTGTTCTCTATTTCTCTCTCTCCCTCTTTCTCTCTCTCCCTCCCTCTCACTCTCACTGCAGCGCTCACTGTCACAATTTCTCTTCCCCCTCTCTTTCTCTCGCTGTATAACTCGCTGGTCCGATATCTCTCTCTACCTCTGTCGACTGAACTATCATTACTGAATTAGACGCCCCGTGCGATCCGGCCCTTGAGTGTAGCGGGGCCTTCTACTTGGTTCCGAAGACAATTTATATGCAATTTGTTTTAGGGTGGGGGAGTTTGGTACAGTTACATTCCGTGTGACACTAATTTGAGCTTGAGATAACTTTAACAATATTTCCAGCAGTGATATGGACGACCCAAAACAATGCCATCAGGAACAGAGAAGACCCACACCGTTAGAGTTGCTGCGACACACTACATTTAGGAAAATCGGGATGATCAATGGAGTATTTATATAATTGTGATGTTGGATACAAATGAAGAAGATAATCATTTTGAGTTGAAATGCCAAGTGACTTTGATGGCCAGCAGTTACCTGCTCCGGAAATGATAGACACGAAGGCATGACTAGTGCCTTTCACGGCGAATAAGCAGTCTCTATCGAAAGCGCTCCACCAATCAGAAAAGTGTCGGGGATGAAGTACTAGCGGTTGATCATTCCTGTCTAGGTCAGCGCACACAATAGGTTCTTTAAATACGCACGCCTGAGTACACACGGGGAGAGTAATGAGCAAAAGTAAGTGGTCTAATTCTTGTGGTCGGTTTACTGAGAAGAATTACAGAAAAAATTGGATCGAGTCCCCCAAATAAACCAGACTTTGAATTGTCAGGCGTGCACAATCTAGCACAAAACTGACAAGGAGTGCTTAGACATTCCTGAGTTATTAATTACAGATCATGCACACAGAAAACAAGTATGTAGGTGCATATCTGAAAGAAATTAGCATATGTTCCGATTGTTTCTGTCCATAGCCGTGCTAACCTTCTTAGGTCTAAGGTGATGGTGAGGGGTCAGAATCCATCGTGGAGTGTTGAGAAGCAAACAAGGAGAGCCATAAGCGTAGCACAGTGTTGCCCACAGCCGCGTATGGTTATGTTTCCGCATTGGCGGTTATATTACGAACTTAGAAGAACCGATTTTTTCGTGGCAGAACAAAACGATTTTTTCCTTCTTCGCATAACACTAGCCGTGAAATGAGCACACAAATTACCACAGTGTTCGCTAGAAAATTTAAGAAAGCGCCAGGACTGGTTTCGAAAAAAATACCCGAGGCATACTATGCACTGCTGCATGAATGTACATTAAGTACTTCCGTTACTCTGACATGGATGCAGCTAATGGGGCCGTTCTCGGCACTTGTGCCAGTGGTTGTGAGACTTATCCACTCACCCCCACCGTTAGGCGCTGCATCTGCCGCTAGGATTCACCGGTTGTTAGCGGCCGTCGTGAGTTCCCTTCGGGAACGGACACGATAATTTACTTTTTTACTTTTACTTACTCTGACCGGTGTTGATAAACTAGGAAAAGGGGCTACCATGGCCTAGCACCACCGCCATCTGTATCATCGTATTTAGAATGTGACCAGTCATGCAAGTGAAGTCTTACCCTCTTATCGTATTGTGACAGTGATGTTTCGTGGTCTGTACATACATATACATGTACATCCTCGTGCCCTGGCTGTGGGCTGGCCTGTGTGGTAGTGCTCACCACCTTGCTTTGCACCACACATAGACTTTGGTACTCATCCACTGATGCGTGTGAACACACGAACTACTGGCCTGGCCATTGTAGGTTCATCTTTGCTTGGGTCCCACAAGAAACGTGCCAATATCTAAGTAAACATAGAGATAGCACCCTAACTAGCTATTTAGCAAGGTAAGCCTGGGCAAGAACTGTGTCACTGCCATACCGTTAGAGTACACTTGTAAAGAGCTCAAGTCCAATCGGCCTAACACGGTACCTCCGGTCGATGCACCCAGCTACAGTGCTGGCAACTGAAATTCGACCAGCTCAGTGGTGGGTCCACATACTTTGCGATGTGAGCGCACCGCGCAGGGGGTCGGATTTCAGTTGCCAGCACTGTAGGCTCATCCCACATGTACGACCTCGCCAGTAAACATTGTGCTATGAGTCAAGTGAATGCTTTGCGTAGTATGAGGTGGTACAATCGTGACTCATGGTCGCTTGCCGCCAGTTGCAAAACCTCTTTTACGGGCAAAAAAACACAATGGATGAAATTGCACTCCAAATTTAATGCAAGCCCAGAAAATCAGAAAATGAAGAAATGTAACCCAAAAGAAAAGAAAATAGTGTGTGATTAACACTATGTATGTGATGTACTTGTATCACCACTCCAGAACTACAGCAGCACCTAATACAGATTAAAATGCAATCAAAATCGTAAGAACTAAGAAAAGCAACACCTTTCATATGCCCCTCCACAAAAACCAACTGTCGGGGTGCATTGAATGGACGGTGGTGTGCGTCGCTTGCTGGAAGCGTTTTCGTGACCAATGTGTTGATAAATGGCCCATTCCAAGTTCGTAGACTAATCTTAAAGCACAGGTTGCACTACAACAGAAGGGTCTGCCAAAACTAAAGTCCGTACAAGTGAAAATTACAATAATTATGCGTAATGAATAGCAATACGGAAGTAGAGGCGGCAATAAAGCAGTGTTTTCGAGCCAGCAATGACGATAGCCACCCTAGATCAAGAACATCGTGAACACTTTTCTAGGGGAAGGGTGACAGACGGAAAGAGAGATAATCATAGCCCTAAATCTGGTACAAGTGGCGCCATGCTGACACACAGCTCATATCACTGACAGAGGAGGGAGAGAATTTGCGCAGGGAATACTAGTGCACCCAGGACAGAAGCGGACCAGGCATCATGACTTTGCACATCTATCGTTATGCTGCTTCATTACGCGACCTGTTTTATTATTATTATTATTATTATTATACTAGTGCATGCATTTCAGTACCACCTGCCATCTCCTGTTGATGTTGACCGTTTAGTCTGCCTCCAGTATCTCCCGTTTCTCAACCAGACATAGTCCACACCGCTTGTACACAGTAGAGCAAAATATGTGTAATGTTAGAATGGGAATGATTTCTGGTTAACACTGAATACATGCCAACACAAAAATAGAAAGAAAGGAGGCAAATGGGATTTGCCGCAGCGAAGAAGTTCTTGCTAACAAAAAAGAATGAAGACAAATGGAATTATTCCTTACAGATTAAGTAGAGAATTGCTTTTATCTACAGATTAAGCAGAGAATTGCTTTTATTCTATTGACTAAAACCTCCAATAACGAATTAATTTTTGTTGTATGAATTTGCTCCATTGACAGGATTGTTGCTAGCTGCCAGCCTGTCAAATTGTGTTGTGTACCCGCCTTAACGCACGGCTCAAGGCGGGCATAAAGCACCCTGGATTGATTGTATGGCAGCATTCACTTCAGCCGACGTCAACGTAGGGATGGTTGGTAAAGTACTTGGCAGATCGGTGGGCGCAACGCCACCACACACGAGAGGCTCATCCAATGTGCAAACCTGGAGATAAAAAAAGTAAATTGTCGTGTCCGTTCCCGAAGGGAGCTTACGACGGCCACTGACAACCGATAAACCCTTTTCTTGAGGGTTTATCAGGGTTTAACCTCGAGATAAGTCAGAATGAAAGACGGCTTGAGACGATTTAAATAGAATAAAAAACAACCAAGTTCAGCTTAAAAAAATTAACATAAACACAGGTTTCCGGCATGCGCAGACATGTGTTGGAAAACTTGATTGTAAACTTATTAGAGCTATGAAGAAAGCGCCTGCGAAACAAGAAGGCCTGTAGTCCGGATAAAATCCCAGCAGAGCTCCTGAAATATGGATCCGAGGTGCTAGCGCCGGTCATAGCAAATTTTGTCAACGCTGCGCCCTCGCAGGGTGCCATTTTATCGACGGCTATTGGACCAGGAATACTCATACCTCTCGCGTAGCCTAACAAGCCCAAGGGTCCTGTAACCAGTCTGCGGCCCATCACTTTACTCTATCCGCAAAGTGATATCGATCATTGTGCTTCGGCGCATCACGGAATACAGGGCACTCTCTCGTCAACTTGGTACTACACAGTCCGGCTTCCGCCAGGGCCGTAGTACAGCGGACGTAGTATGGACCCAGCGGTGGATCGCTGCAAGAGCCATTCGTTACCGACAGCATTTTCACATTCTAGGCCTGGACATGTCCAAGGCGTTCGATACGATTCACCGACTGAAGCTACTGGAGGTGATGTCTGCAATCACCAATCCAGATTGCCCATGTCTCATCCACCACCTACTCCACAACACAACTATCACTGTTAAGGTTGCAAGTGCCACAGCTGAACCGTTTGAGTGCACTATCGGAACGCCACAAGGCGACAGTCTCAGCCCAGTTCTCTTCATCTGCTATCTGGAGGCTGCACTACAGGAATGCAGAACTCGTCTCGCGCCCCGCCCTGCTGGCGACGCAAGTCTACCACCAGAGACGGGCTATGCAGAGGACATCTCATGTTATTCAACCTGCAGGCTGTGGCTTGAGAACGCTCTGCCTGTAATAGCAGACACACTGCACGATTGGTCATTAAAAGTAAATCCAGATAAAACAGAGTGGATCCGTGTGTCACCTGAATCCGAGAGCTGGCGGACATCTAGCCAGCTTGGCTCCTTGATGGGGGAGGAGGAGGATGTTCGGCGCAGGATGGAACTTGCCTCTCACGTGTTTGGCCAGATTTACGGCTAATGGCTGCGTAGAAATAAAGTAGCGGAGAAGACACGCTTACGCCTGTACAACCCTATCGTACTGCCGACATTCCTGTACAATTGCGAGACCTGGGGATTATCGTCAACAGCAATGGCCAAGGCAGACGCACTCCACCAGCGTCAAATGCGATCACTACTTGGAATACGATACCCAGACACAATCTCAAACGACGACCTATACCGCAGAACCAAGAGCAACCCTATATCAGACACAGTTGCATGTTGGTGACTACGAATGACCGGTCACGTGCTACGGATGGACACGGACACGCCACCGCAAGTAGCCATGAGCGGCTATTTTGACAAGGGCAACAAAGCACCTCGTGGACCACCAAGGTTGACACTGGCCACAAGTCTGGTCGCTCACCTGAATAAGCTGGGTGTGCCAATGAAGACCATGGAAGACCTTTCCAGGTGCCGACAACAAGCAGCAGACAAGACAGACTGGAAGAAACTGTGCAGCTCGACACCCGAAGAGAAATCAGTATCAGCAGCTACTACACCTAGCTGATGATGCTCACAAGACAGAAGCGGAAAAAACACTGAATTTCTATATTTAGTGCTCTACTACGCGAAATGTGCTATTATTATTATGACTTGGGGCTCCCCGCGTGCTAGTTTGTACGTGAAGTGTGTGGGTACAGTGAGGGCTGCGTCCCACCCGCCTGTGTGGATTCACAGGAAGTGTGAGTCACGAAGTCTGAGGAAAACGTTGAACGGTCTCTGCTTGGATGACGACTACACCATAGCTCAGTGCAAGTGGTTAGAGCATCGCTGGCTACAAGCGAGGGTCCCTGGTTCGAGTCCTGGTGGTGACAGTCAATTTTTTCTTCAGACTTTTCCCGTTTGTCTCTTTCCCTCAAAACCAGTTAATAATATTATTATTATTATTATTATTATTATTATTTTGAAGAAAGAACGCAGACAAGTTTTTGCCACGGATCCCACGGATCAAAATGTGACCTGTATGAGCATAATGGCGAGTTAAATTTATTTTTGTGGAGAAGAGGTTGATGCGACTTCACCAAATGCAAACTTCGTTTCCTTATGCACCGTGTCCACACCAGCAGCATCAGCCCTTTCCTGAAAGATAGAGTAGCCCTCCAACCTCCCAGTAACACCCGTGCTCAATACACAGTGTTTCGGGAAGCTCACACCTCATGATTTGAGCTTCAGAAGGCTGAGGAAGATTGTACTCGAAGGGCATCACTTATATAATGCTGTCCAGGAACAAACATCACCAGGGAAACAAACTTAAAGATATGCTCCCTTTCCAGCTTGACAAACAACTCGTGAACACCAGATAGCAGCGTGAGTCAGTGTCGCTCATGGAGGTGCTGAACAAGCACTGAAGACCGTTGGCCATTCACAACGTTGTTGCCTCCAAAACATCTATTTCCCAAATTCGGGCTGGGGCCAAAATGTGAGGAAGAGGTTGGTGCGACTTCGGCGATACTTAAGGAATTGTGTGTTGCTCCCTTCATGGGAGCTCGCGATTTTCCTGTCGACTTGTATCCTAACTTGAATGACGCACGACTGCCATACAGAGTCTCTGCAAGTTTGTATCCCTGGTGATGTTTGTGCCTGGACAGCACGATATAAGTGGTGCTCTTCGGGAACAATCTTTCTCAGCCTACTCAAGCTCAACTGATGAGGGGTGATTTTCCCGAAACACTGTGTGTTGAGCAGGGAGTGGGACTTTCTTGCTGGTTTGCCGAGGGGACGGTTCGATGGACTTCTCGTGCTCTCAGGATGGCAGTGGTAAGTCATTCAAGTGAGAATTCAAGTCGGCAGGGAAACCGGGAGCTCCGATGTAGGAAGCAACGCAAAATTCCTCAAAAATAATTTTTGCACAGGTGTATTGTACGCACATACGTAGATTGAGATAGATTTTGTCGGCCTTTCTGAAAAGTCTACAAGATCGAAAAGGTTTCGTACGACGCACGCGATGAGAACTACTTTCTTCCTTCTGGTTTGCCGGTTAGCACCATTTTCGTCAACATGCCGACAGCCAAGGCCGAACATAAAGTGATCAGTTGACTCAAGAAGGATCCGACGGATACGAGATCTTGATCTCGATCCCGATTCTACAAAGAGTACACAACCCCCAGAGTGTGCAACGCCTGATCCAGGTCTGCATAGGGTCTTGGTCGAGCGTAGTTGGATCTTCTGATGCCACGCGTACACTCCACACCAGAGCAAGGCCGGTCTCCAGGCAGGGCGCCGGTTTTTTTATAACAGGCTCGACCGAGAATCTCCGCGACTCCCTGGGTTCCCCATAGATATGTACGGTATTATGACGCAAAGATTATAATACGCTCGACCAAGACCCTAAACAGAGCTGCATCAGGCGTTGCACACTCGCGGGGCGGGGGGGGGGGGGGGTATATACACTTGATTCTACTAATCGAACATGCCTCTAGTATCATAATAATAAAAGTTAGATTTGGCTAGTGCGGGGCCCCTACTCAGTAGCTGTTTGTTTTTGTCCGCATATTTATTTATTTTCCGAGTTGGATTTGTGAATAAAGGTAAAAACTATTACAAAAATAGAATGGTCGTAGGAGATCGGGAATACTACTTATCACCGGAAGTGATTTAAAAACGGTTACCTGGTTGTCAGAACAATAGTGAAACATACGTTTTGCTTACCTCTCCCGTTTGTTCCAGCGGTAGAAACGAATCTCCTTCCATTGAGGTAAATCGGAAACTTGATGTTGGGGACCCGGTACTTGGTATAGTGATAACAATTGATATTAGGCCTAACGGTGCTGGAAGGTCGATATAATTTTACACTTCGAGGCTACTTTCTGAACCGAGTTGTACGTCAAGAGAAAAACCCAGACTGGCTTTTGAGGTGAGTGTACGTGTAACGTAATCTTGGGTTTGAAAGCAGTCAACGGAAGCCACACTGGTTCCAGTAAGCACGTCTCCGAGCTGGGCTAGCAGTTTAGCAGAACTGGCCAGGAGTATATTGACGGGCGGTACTGCATTGGCAATCATCTGTAGCTGGGTGAATTCCTCTGGCTGTCTAACCTGCAGTGCATTGTCGCTAATTGCGCAGGTCTGGGTGAGAAAACAGGACTCCATATCCATATCCGAGGCGCTGTCATCACTCTGCTCACTTCTGAAGGAGCTTTCCCCTCCACTGTCGCTATCAGAGCGAATTTCCCGATCTTTGTCCAAACTTGCTGAATGTGCTGACAAACAAATAAGTAGCACAAGAAAAGGAAATATAAGACTGTCCATAGCGAACGACTTCGAGCGCCTGTAAAATACAGAAGCGGAAAAATGGTGTTGAAAGAAGAGTAGAGTTCAAGAGAATGTACCGAATGTGCCAGCTTCACAGAAAATTATTAGCTATTGTCTCGTTCCAAGCATCGACGAGTGTCGGAGAAGATCCAGGGTTGCCTCCAAGCACGATGGGTTTTGCGAGCTAAAGATAGATTTCTCGTAGCTTTTGACAACGACTATGTTCTGATTAAACAAGCACAGGTTTAACTCAGTATACTCACGTTCTGATGTTGTATATACATATGCATAAACAAGGCCGGTCCTGGAAGCTCGAGGTAGAGTGCTCAATGTACGAATGTACAGAGCAGTATACACACACAACAGAGGCGAAAGGCTGTGTTAGCTGTAACTTTAAGTTTCACGCATCGGAGCGATCATCAGACAGCAGCATTCACTATCGAATTCTCTACGAGCAGGCCTAGATATTTGATGCTAGCGTCTTTAAACAGAGATACAACAATCACATGAGCACGACGAGGCATGAGAGGATGGAAAAAAGCACGGAGCTGTCCAAGTGCATATGGAAGCTCAAGCGGAAGAACACTCCGCACTCTGTGAAATGGGCCGTGATCACCAAGGCCCAGGCCTACTTGAACGCGACCAAACGGTGTCCCCTATGCCTTGCTGAGAAACTGGAGATCCTGAAAGCAGACAAAACGGTCAACATCAACAAAAGGTCGGAGTTGGTGTCGAAATGCAGACACGAGAACAAGTATTACCTGCCCAGATTCTCACCATCAGTTACGTGAGTTTTTCGACATGGCGCAACCTGCACCAGGTTTGGCGCCATGGTGCTTTCTCTCTCCCTCTTCGCTATTGCTGTGGTCTTGCGCTACCGTCGCTATCGCCTTCAATGACTCGGTAACACTGCCCTGTTATCGCCTCTATTCTCACCTATATCCGTTAACTCTCACAAAACAACTCAATACCATTGTCCCAATGCCACGTCTTCACTTCGCACATATGCACTAACTTCCACACTAGCATCAAATATCTAGGCCTGCTCGTAGAGAATTCGATAGTGAATGCTGCTGTCTGATGATCGCTCCGATGCGTGAAACTTTAAGTTACAGCTTACACAGCCTTTCGCCTCTGTTGTGTGTGCAAATATATGCATATAGTTATAATGGTGCATCTACATAATTCCCAAAATAAGGTCTTACCGGCAGTTTGATAACTTGTGTTATCTTATCGTCGTGTATGTGCGTCAAGGTCAAGCATGTAACTGGCCAACTTGGCTGTAGTAACTTGTATCTTGTTATCATATTGTGTGTGCGTGTAGTAACCTGTAGCTCGAGGGGTATGTCTGTTTCTTATGGTCCACATTAGTAGTAGTGTGTCTTTCCCCAGTTACATGCACCTAAACGCACATACACGACGATATCAAGGTAACGCAAGTTACCTAACTGCCGGTAAAACCTTAATTTGGAAATTATGTAGATCCACCATTAGTATATAACTATCTGCAACATCTGACCGTGAGTATGCTAAGGTGTAACTGGGGAAATTGGTTGTAGTAACTTGTGTGTTGTTATCATCTTGTATGTGCGTGTAGTAACCTGCAGCTCTAGGGGTTTGGCTGTTTCCTATGGTCGACATTCCATGCGGCAACTTGCAAGGCTTCTTCATTTTGTAAACTAGGCACTATGCACGATTTCAATCGTAGCAGGTAAACGTTAAGCAATTTGTGTAAAATTTGGAATCATTTAAACGGTTTTAGGACTTACCGAGTTGTATGTTCAATTTGGAAGGGGTCTGATTAAAGGTGAGGGCCGCCAAGACAAGCACGCCCTGAAAGTCTCACCCATGAAGGAAGTTGGCGGATGAACATGACTGTCGATGAGGATACTGGCAAGACCATTTGACTATACGGTCAAACCACGATTGGAGGACGCATACCAACATACCACATACCTTGCGTGGCTCTAAAGCTGCAAAAATATAATGATTGGAAAGCTAACGGAACACGAACCATGAAGAACCGAATTACCTACTTAAACAGTACTGTACTTTGACTATCACAAGTTGGATGAATGATAAGCAGCGGTAACAAGGAGCAGTTTCACACGGCGATCGCTTCTCCGCATAGATAAGGACGGCTAAACCGGTGTGCAATAATAGACTCGTGTGGGAAGCCAATGATAAATTTAGAAAAGAGAAAAGAAGCAATCAACTACAGGTTGCGCTGTAATATCCACTAACGTCACCAGTTACTTGACAATTAGCTCATGCGAATTCACCCCTCATCAGTTGAGCTTGACTACACAAGCTTGACTACACAAGCTCAACTTATGAGGGGTGAATTCCCCGAAACACTGTGTATTGAGCAGGGAGTGGTGCTTCCTTTCAGGTTTGCCGAGCGGAAGGTGCGACGTGCTCCTGGTGTGCTCCGGATGGCAGTCGTGAGTCAGTCAAGTGTCAAGTTCGGCAAGAAGCGTGTGCTCCTCGTTGGAGCAACCAACTTCTATTCTATAATGTAATAATTATTATAAATAACATACGTGGAGATAACAGATAATGCTATAAATGAAACAACCTGGGCACCCGTACTTCGAACACACCAGGCAAGGTAGGTAATAACGGTCGCAACAGTCTGTAATTGAAAGTGTTTGAAGCTTTTTACATTCACGAACTCCAGCCTGACCTACCATTCAGAAGTAATCAGTAACTAGCGGTCACTAATGGGACCATTGTGAATTGTGAATCATGTCTCTGAATCCAACTCTATCGTATGCTGCATGAGAGAGAGAGCATGCCAGGGAAGACCCATCCAACTTTTAATTTTAGAAATCCATGATGTCGTGGGCCTTCCTCTCGGTCGAGATCCAGGAGTTGATCCTTGCAGGAAGGGCTTGGAGAAAACGTCGTCTCCTAACATGGCCAAACCACATCAACTTAAGTTAAATTTCTTGACTTCGTTCGCCAGCCGCATCCTTGCTCCGATGATGTCATTGAGTTCTTCCAGGATAGATTGGTTGGTACGCCGGTCGTGGTATGTTACTCCTAAGAGTCGTCGGAAGCATTTCATTTCGAAGGACGAATTTCTTTTCATTGATGAGGCAGATAATGTCCAAGATTGGCATCCGTATGAAACAAGTAGTAAGGGCAGGGAAGACAAAAGAAACATTTCAATAACCAGGCACTGTGTGTTCCTTTCACGATTCAGTGTGATTGGTCACACTGCTATCGCCTCCGCACGATACACACGGTACCCACGTATTTCCTCAGTTGCAACCAGTCTAGGTAAAATGATTATTGAATAAAGCCGTCCATTGCACTGATAGTTGTCAGCGTGTGTTTCATCTTGCAGACGTTTAGCTATCATATCAGGATCACTCCAATACGCAGTCTTGTTCCTTTCCTGCTAATTGCCGTAATCTCCAATATTTGTAGAGTTGATGAGTTGGTAAAACCTAGTCAACTCGGCAGACCTCCTATCTGGGCATAGTGCTGGATATCATGGTGTTCCGTTGAGTACCTACAAGTACAAGTTGGTTCATTTTATCTTCCTGCCGATTGCCCAGCGTATCTACTCCGAACAAGTGATCCTGTCACCTCAAAATAATTTTCCAGCAGGGTTCTAAAAGCAAGGAAATGGGACAACCCATCCGTTTGCACTGTCTAAGTGTTAGAGTCGTCTGGCTGAGCGCTTGCAAAGAAGTAAGTTCTGTCATCCTGTTACGCATTGACAGCAGCCATGTCCTTGTGGCTTAATCGCTATAAGTACTATCTTCTACTCTGACGTCATTACTGTTTGAAGGCACGATTCACTTGCCAACAACACCACCCTCTGGCTCTATTACATGTATACTATTGTTGAATGTACACACTTAGGCAATATTACGGAGCCGATTACAGGAGCAAATATCTTCCCTTATAAAAGCTTGTGGGTGAACGTTCAGGACTCAGACCTGTTCGCATTTTCTCTTTCTGGTCAGGCAAACAACATGAGGTCAAATATGAAGACATTTGGGGCCGCTCTCATCTGCTTCTGCTGTTTGCACACCTTCACGCTGAGCGCTAAGTTGGATAGAGACTATAGAACCCGATCCGACAGCGACAGCAACAGTGCGTCTTCGGAGAGTTCTTCTGTTGACAGTGATGCTGGACCCTGCTTCCTCACTCAAACCTGTGGTACTGGAAATATCTTGGAATCTGCTCAACCAACTGAGTTCAACCTTATACGAACTGCTCTGGAGTCAATTACCTCTGAAGACGATCTGGTCTCAACGATAGGGGAGATATTAGACCAATCAAATCAAGGTGGAACTCCTCCCCCTGATTGCTTCTTATCATCTGTATTTCCTTTCCCACCCTCAACAATAATTCGTGTGAATGCGCAAGACGCCCTCGGGTTTTCCATAGAATTTGGACAAGCTCCGGCGGGATTAGGGGTGTTGTTTTCTTTCATCTTCACGGATCTGCCGTCTTCTTTTGGAGAGCTCAGCTATGACCTTGTTATCGCCAATACTGGAACCCCGTCCCTGGTCTCTGCCACGCCACGTTTTCGCGCTACCAATGGAGGAGTATTTGATCTGTTCCTTACTGGTGAGGTGAGTAAATGCTCGTGTAGAGAGCTAGCAAAATGGATGATAAATACTACCATGAATAAAACAGTGCAACATGCTTGATACACGCTCCCTTTGGTATAGTAATTATGTCCCCACCGAGTTTAGGAAGTGTTGACTAAACACAAATACAAAATGATCGTCCGCATTAATCAGCTCGTGGAGCAACCACTTCATTGCTGGTTCGTAATCCGAAGCCAATTTTGCTTCGAGGATTTTCAGTGTGTCGACATTGTTGGTGCACAGAATGAACAGAGGATATTTTATGTAGAATACACTAGCAACCATACCTGAGAATTTTCTTGATTGATCGTGTCTCAGGTGTGCATGCCTGCACAATGCGATTGCACCACATGTTTTTATAAGGGATTTCATAGTCAGTGAAGTGAGCGAAATGTGAAAAAAAGGATGTAGAGATTAGGAAACCCTAAGTGGAATGAATTGCACAGTTTAGTTCTCCCATTCGGCATCGTGTCTTCCAGTCAGGTCGTACTGTAGATATACACGATTCTTCTCACACCACCTCACACAAATCATTTAGCGCCCCTTCCGCTGTCAAGCTGCAGGTTAGCTCTGATCAATTCAGATTAATCATTAGACGAGGTGTTGAAAACCTTCAAGAATTTATTTTTCTAAAAATGATCTTCAGCGAACACCTGCATCGTTCTCTGTGGAAAAGAACCGGTGAGGGTTGAAAACACCTAAGTGTTAGAGACGTAACAGCTTCTCTCTGAAAACCACCATCGCCCTTGTTATTAAGTGCTGGAAACTACACTTAGACCTCGGTTCCCTCACGAGAAGGAAATGAATGTAACGATCTGTATATTTGGTCTTTTGATCACCTTTTTGCTTGCCAGATTTTTAAGTTGACTGTTGGGAGTGATGGTGTTTCTATCGATTCTGGCACATAGCAATAAGGCGCCTTTGTTTTATCATCTTCTGCGTCTTCTGCGTGAACAGGTGTGTTCCTTATCTCAACCCTTGGTGTGCGGAGGAGAGGCTCCAACGGACCCAACGTTACCTGCAGATTTACCAACATTGCCGCCTGCTCAAGCCGCTGACCTTGAAGCTGCTATGGCGTCAGTGCGAGGTGCTCTTTGCCCGCCGTAGCGGCAAACCGAATCTGTCCGGAATTGAATTGAACGCCGTTATTGACGTGATGGGTGCCAACATTGAACTTTGCTAGGCTTGCACTCATGGATACAGGCTCCTATTGATCCCCTCGTTCTCCCTCGTATGTAACACAATAACGGAGAGTATTTTTCTCCTCATGCCCAAGCCTCTTGTACGGGTAAAATACACACAAGAGCCACCTTAACCCTAGGACGGCCGCCACTTTCGGTACTCCTAGAACGGCCAAACGCTGTCATTTGACACCTGCATACATTTCCATGTCTAAGACCTATGATATAGGTTATTATAGTTTTTGTTTTCAGTGCTGGCTATCACTATCGGCATTTATGATATACACAACAATTTAGGATTCACCCAGACACTATTGTTGGCTATACGCAATTAAAATACAATGTACGCGTAACGGCAATTGCGAAGGATGAACTCAATTGCTGGCAAAACTTCAATTACTTGCATAGGAATTTCTTATAATCACAGAGTTACAATAACAAGCAATGTGTCAACGTCACTGGGCACATGAGGAACTGCTTTTCGGGGAATATGTGCTTTGGCATGATCGGATTACTCGACCGTCACGATGAATGACACACAGTAACAAGTACAAACATGGACTGACTATGAGCATCATTTTTTCACCAAGCTAACGCAGATGCTGCTAGAGATGGTTTAGGCTAGTAACGATTGCATGTTAGACTCTTTCAAAGAGGTATACCTTTCTCTTCTCCTTGGCTGGCACTTAGCAACCAGATGCCATAACTATCTACAAGCTTATTGACCAGTGCAGGAATGAGCGTTTTCTGGATGTGCATGAACTAGCAAAGGTCTGGGATATTGTGAAGGCGTTGATTCCTGTCCCATCTATTCATTTATGTAACCGCCTTGCAGGGGACATCTTCTGGAATGGTCTTTGTTGAGTAGATCTACCACATTCCATCGAAACGGTCGCAGACATATCTCGTCTTTTACTAGAATTGGACGATGTGGGGCTTCCTACTCTCACCATGTAAAACATATGGATCTAGGTGGTCTACACTAGGCGGACCATTGATAATTCTTGCTACTTCTACCTTCTTTGTCTACCATCTTTGCATCCTACAATGTAGTCTTGAAAAACAAAATGCAATCCGCGATTATTGGCAATGAAGTTAGATGGTATTTCACTGCAATTTCCCAAAGTGGTTCATACTGCAACTCTTTATTCTCCAACAGTTTCTTGACCAGTAATGCACTGATGATGAAGTTATCAGTTACGACTTAGCAATCACCTTCAGCAGCATCCGGGGCCAATAAAAAGAGAGGAGGCATCCCAGCGGCTGCCTACCCGTTTAGCCGGAAGCGGAGGAGGAAGAGGTTTGGTTCAAGCGCCTTATTAGCTCGTCAAGTAGTTAGAAAGGATTATCTACACAGCACCATCCTTGCGATAATGCGGTGTACCATCTCCAGGTTGCAGAGTTGCGATTCCTCTTCCTCAACACTATCCATTTCGGGGTCTCCACCACTCCTGCAACTGTTTCTGACAATTCCTTGTCTGGACTATCCCGCAATCGTCGTCCGCTCTCTAGAGGCTGGTAAACCTCAACACATTCTGAATCCACAGGTGGTACTCAGGTGTTGTGACCGTACGATTCGCCCTCATATGACAGAACAGATCTACCACTGCCAATGGTCACTACACTTGAACATCTATCAAATGAAGATAAAGTGGGCAATTTCGCTTTCATGGTCATCAGATTCATGCATGGTAATAGGCTACATCCGTTCTAGTATTTCCTTGGCCGTCAGACCGCGATGGCTCCTCTGGGGCAATTTACAGGAAAATGAAAGGGAATGAGCAGTATCAAGGACATTAGCTGAAGAGTGTTTGTGCAATCTGTGCACTAATAGTTACCCGCCCCAAATTCGCGATTCTCGCCCGACGGTTGTGTGGTGATCATATATCTCGTCCTGTATTCAGCGATTTTCCTGCCCATGCACCTTTCTTTTGTCTGGTTGGCATACGAGCAACTCCATATGGCCGACACCTTCGAAATGTGTTCATATTGTTTCCATCTAGCTGCAATAATTGCATTTTATAGTGCAGGTGTCAAATGACACTGGTTGGCCTTTCTAGGTATACGTACTCGCCATTATGGTACCTCATCAATTACAAATCAAAGGTTTATGGCAGACGAAAGAGGAAGAAAAATTAGGAATAGTCACAAGATTTGAGCTTGTTCTGATTAGCCATATTTCGGTAATTCCAAAAGTTTGACTCGCGCGGTGTCAAATGACACCGTTGGCTGTTCTAGGGTTAACAACCGATATTGAGCTGCAAGGGCTGTGAGCACAGACTGATACCTAGATAACGGATATTGAGCTAAAAGGGCTGTGAACAGAGACTGATACCTAGATAACGGATATTGAGCTGCAAGGGCTGTGAGCACAGACTGATACCTAGATAACGGAGATAACGGAGAGTATTCAGCCTTACAAACATGTAACTACATAGTTTTTCCCCTTCTGCTTCATAGGCATTTCAGCCATAAATTTATTTAGTTGCAACCCGAACGGAACCTTAGACCGCACACGTGCACCTTTCCAGATCTGTATGTCCCTGTAAATGAACTATGTAGTGAACACATTGTGTATTACAGTCCTGAGGCCGCAAGTCCACCTAACCCCCCCCCCCCCACCCCACCCCACCCCACCCGCCGCCCCTAAAGACCTTCAAATTTAGCCACCAACTTTGCAAATAGCGTATTGCGCACATCTAGAAACAGAACTTTGAACAATTGACGGGAAACTGACCAAATTGGTTCCCTTATTCAACTACCTAATGTTGAGTTCTATGAAGTCAAGCATGAAAGCCAACAGCCACTTACGACTATCGACTCTTGCCTCGACAACCTTTGCGAGATGCATACGAAATATTTTGAGTGTGTATAATGAATTATGTATTGTGGTGTTATTTTAACTGAACCAGGCCTATAAAACACAGCTCTACTCCTACTGATCAGTATTTGGAAAGACTGAAGCTCACGATGTTGAACGTGAACATGCTGTACAGTATTACTGCCCGGTGTCGCCGATTGGACTTGTAATCTTAGTAAGCGTATACACTGATATACATGTACAGGTACTAGCAAGAGAACCCTTGATACTGTGTACTATCACAAGAGTCACGACTAGAACACACCGTCAAAAAGCAATACCCAATACACACAGTGATATATATATATATATTGTACATGTAGTCTTGTACATAATGCCGGTCGTTTGCCGGTGACGGGTCAGAACTGCATGATTGTGTTTCACTGTCAGTTCTGATCACACCGTCATCGTTGCACTCTGCTGACAGTGAGGAACTTTCAACACCCGCTATAGAGTAAGTTTGGTACAGGGAAAATACCTTAGGTGGTAATCAAGAGTTGGCAATCACCCAGCAATGCGGTGACGCATGCGTGAACCACAATACATGCAAAAGCAAAAATCACCCCCAACAGCTTGTGGAACTGTCGCGCCAATTTAGCTCTTTCTAGTCTATTTCGTACAAGACGATGTGCCCTGTCAGTTATGCTAATGCCAGAACATATAACTCTATCTTTCTCTATCTTTCAGAACTACTGGGCCTAAGAATACGATTATGTTTATCCAGTATTTCCCCTCCTTGTATACGATGCCGATCGTTTGCCGATTAAACCAACAAACATGCTCACTAGCAACGCCTGTTCTATTCGCTACGGTAAAGCACCACATTGCCAACACGCCGGAGTCTTCACAGCCGCCTCAAAAGCAGATCTAGACTACATGTACAGACATGTATGTACAGATAGAATACATGTGATCACTACTGTCGTTACATTAGTCACATCAATGTCGGTGAATCGCGATCTGCTCTCCTCTGCAGTCATGCCCGTTTGATACTCGAAGTAAGCGCACAGGCTTACACTTTGGAGAAATCAGCCTCAGGCTCTATTGTCAGATTTTCCTCAGGGCACGGAGATAATCATAAAGAGTACTGGCACAATATTGTAAGCTAGGGTTGAGAAGCATTAAAACGGGAACTTAATATATGAGGTCACTGGTTGTGTTCAGCGCTGTTCCCTTGGAAAGGATATTACCAAGTATCAAGAAGTTATGGATTGCACTCGTCTTCATAGTATGCTTTTTTTTGACTCTTTTGCACTGAGCACTAGGTTGTATGGGGAATTTGCAGTTCGATCCGACAGCGACAGAAACAGTGCCTCTTTTGAGAGTTCTTCTGTTGACGATGATGTTGGACCCTGTTTCCTAACCCAACCCTGTGGTCCTGGAACTATCCTGCAATCAGCTCAACCAACTGAGTTCGACCTGATACGAATTGCTCTTGAGTCCATTTCCTCTGTGGATGACCTTCGTTTTTCGATAGGTAGGATGCTAGGCCAGCAACAGGAAGTCGAAGTCTTTGGAACGCCAGTAGATATGTGGATTGCTACCTTTCAACTGAAGGTGGACCCTTTCCAGCGTCACAGCTTCTTATCGCCAAAGGTGACCTCGGATTTTCCCTAGTTATCGTACCTTGTGAGGACAACAACGTGTTCGTCTCTTTCAACTTGACCAGCCTGCCGAATTCATTTGGAGAGCTTCGCTATGATCTAATTTTGGTCAATGACGGTGAAGAGACCCTCGTCTCTATAACGCCGCGTTTTCGCGCCACCAGTGGAGAGGTGTTCGATCTGTTCCTTTCTGGTGAGGTATGTCAATATTGTTTCTGCCAATATCAGATGTTTGCCCTACTGATCAATCACCTCAATAATATTATGCATGATGTAGATATCTTGACGTGTGGAGACATCAGATGAATCATTATGCTATTGCAAGTCTATTGAGTTGGTCAGCTAAACAACCCAGGAATTGGCTACTAAAAAGTGATAATAATAACATTTGGTTAGTCGGGGGAAATGCTTGAGTAAACGTCAAGATGTTTTTGAATGAGCAGCGGTTGGTCTGACCAACGCATATGGCCGATTGGTTTGCAGGCCTGCCTGCGAATCATGAGGTCCCGAGTTCGATACCCGCGCTGGCAGCAGGGAGCGTGCAAAAAGACTTTTTACGCGTGTTGAACTGCGCCGACACCCACGGTCAACTGGGTACTCACAGCTCGAGTGAGGATAACAAGGATGCAGTTTACAGGGTTATGGGCCGTTACACGCCCGATTGGTTGAGAGACTCACCTCCTCTCCCCTGACTCACTTGTGAGGTCTGCATTCGCCACTAAGGTGTAAAGGCATAGTGGTGGCCTGCGGAAGCGAAGGCTATAGCTTGTGTGTTTCTGAAACTTTCAAGTGATGCTAACGCGGATCCCGCGAATATTATTATTATTAGCGGTTGGTCTTCATTAGAATGTTTTAGCAATGACGCAAGTAAGCTCCTTCCGGCGGTCTTCAAGCATGATTTGCAAAATCCAGAGATCATTCTCTTTCATGGTATTTTGTAGGCCTTTCTAGTATTCTCTGGCGTTTTCGTCTTTCCTGAGATTATCAGCACGACGAAAACCCT